AACTGAACGCAGAGAGCACATGCTGGGGCAGCTGGCAAGAATCCTCACTGGATTGAGGATACCACACTGAGAAGAGCACAGTGCCAGAACCAGGGGCAGACTGACAACTCATGGGGCCCCCAGGCAATAGGGGATCATGGGGCCCATGTGTCCTTACCCAAAATCAAAAAAGCCTATGAAAAAGGTACCAGGGGCGTCTCATGGGGCCCCCTACTGATCCCGGGCCCTCGGGCAGTGCCCGAGTTTCCAAATGGTCAGTCCGCCCCTGGCCAGAACTTGCTGTGGCATTGGCTTCATACCAAGGAGCCTCTCATGGTTACCCTATACTGGCCAGGTGCCTGATGGGTCGACAACTCGTCGGTTGGGGCCTGGGCTCCTCAGGATCCCGGGGCCCCTATATGTGTGTGGGGGTCCCCCCCCCCGATTAACCTAAGATAAAGGCCCTATCAAAATCAAATAAAACTAGGGATGCACCAATACTACTGTTTGAAGACCAAGTATGAGTACAGATACATTTTTAAAGTACTCACCGATACCAATTACCGATACCTATCACCTAGGAAGAGTAGGTAGAGGGGTGGTTTGGGAGGTGGGGGTTGGAGTTAGGGAGTTGGGTGAGGCTGGGGTGAGATCGGGGGGTGAGTGAGGGCTGGCCTAGGGTCTTTTAAAGCTCCTACACCTGCAAGCTACAGCAGATTGACCCTGTGTTCTGTGTTGGCATTGACCTTGATTTGTCAAATAGTGTCACAATGAGATCAATCTATTAAAGAGGACCTCTCCATCAGAAGGACAAACCCTTATGTTACAGAATGTTTGGATCTAATGTCTGGAGCTCTGTGCTTTAGCTATTTATTTATCTTGCTAGGTATTTTTGTAGCTTTTCTCCTCAGCATTTGGACTCTCAGGTCTCCATCTGTAGCCTCCTTCTAGCCCCTTAAGTCAAGCCCCTTCATTCAGCTGTTCCTCTTCACCCTTCAGGTATTACTGTTCCCCAACTGTGCATCTTCTCATGTTTGTTTGGGCTCCCCACATCCTGGTTTCCCACATTCCTACACTAGTAGCAGCCTATCCTTGGAAATCGTATCCCACTCAAACTCACACTTCTCCCCACTGGGGGGAATCCTTTTCCTTTACATGTGGTTGCACCCTTTGTGATGCCTAAATCTCTTCAGTCCTATGCCTCTCCTGAGGGAGCTCTTGATCTAAAAGGTCAACAAAGATCAGTCCCTTTGGCTTGCAGAAGGGCCTGACTCTTCTGTGTCCTTCAACTGTTCCAAAGTCCACTCAAGGTATTGGTCTTTATGTACACCCTAGTGCTTTTCCTGGAAATCCCTTGTGGAACACTCAGGAGACATTCTCTGAAGATAGTTTCCTGGATTCTCGAAGTTCTAGAAATGCTGAAGTTCTTGCAATACAGAGGATCCTATTATCTGTAAATCTCAACTAGATTTGAATCGCCAGCTATTTAGTGCTAGTAACCCTGTGGTTCCTTTTGAATGGAGCTGTTCAGCTCAGGCCCTCCCTAAGAAAGTCCTCTCCCTGTGGACCTTCTTCTTTTTCCTTAGGTGTGGCAGACTTTTTCCCCATCTACCCCTTTAGAGTTTGTGCTATTGTTGTTGAATCCCCATTTAGCATCGTCTCCCCTTTTTGTGTGGTCTCTCAGTTATTTTAAACCTCTCCCTCTGGGTTAGAGAGTATGACATTTGGGCAAGACATCAAGATGGTCTTTTTGGAGCACGTCCCAGACACTATTTGGTGTCCTCTGGCTGGATAGGAGACGGTCCTGTCCAGTCATTCTGGGAGCATGCCCCTCCCCTTCCCGAGTGGGTGTATCTCCTTACCTGGCAATTGAGTTTGATTCTCTAGAACAGACAGTTCCCAAGTCATCAAAGAATCTCTATGTGCATTGGCCTTCTAACCTGACCTCTGCTAGACATCATCTAAATACTGCAGGGCTTTACCCTCTGAAAAAGGTTTGAGAATTCACCTTACGATAGATTGGGTGATTTACTCAACTATGTTGAACAGCATTAAATTAGTAATTTCTGACAGCACTACCTTTCCGAGAGTCAAGGTATTTTCATTGTAGAGTGAGAGTTCAGCTCTTGTGTGTGCCCCTCTTTTCCTCCTTGGAAGGAAGTGTCACTTCAGGGTCCTGTACTCCCCTGAATGGTCAGCAGACAGGACAAATGGGGACCCTACAACAGATTCCCCCTAAGGGGGATAGTGTAAGTCTGGAGGCCATTGTAGAATCTGATCAATGGTGGATAGGTTTACTTTCTGTAGCCAAGCTGCAGTCGTCTGAGGAAGTCTCCTTAATTTCTTCCTCTATTATCTATCAAGAAAAACTTCCTAGTACTAGTACGCCTTCTCCTTGTTCCTCAGTGAAGGATCATGATTCATACAGATGTAGGTTGAATGATTCCTAGAATCATATTCAGTAGTTAGTAAGGGTTAGGCAGTTTTGCAGTGTGGCTATCACACTCCTAAAACATATATGAATGTTGTAAGGAGTCCTGATCATCATTTTGGTACTGGTGTTCTTATAACACCTGTCAGGAATGGACTCAGTACTGGTGGTGGGACTCACCTGCCGTGTGGGCTGCAGTACCAGGGCTGACCAGCGGGTGCTCTCAGCAACCAGAAGCTCACTCCTGCAGTCAGCCATCAGCTGAAGCTGATTGCAGGAGGTGTATTTAAGTAGGACCAGGCCTGTGATCAGGGCCTGGGTGTATGTTTCCCATGAGCCCCTGTACCTGGTATCCTCTGTTCCTGCTTATCTGCCTAGTTGCTGACCCTGCCCTCTGCTGACCGTCTCCTGTTGAACCCCTGGCTTGCCTGACCATCCTTCTGCCTGATCCTCTGTACCACGCTGCCCGTGAGTTACTGAACCCGGCTTGTGACCCTGACTATTCTCTGCCTGCTCCTCCGGTACCTCACTGCCCGCACGTTGCTGACCTGGCCTGCCTGACTACGCCTGACGCTACCCAGACGATCCATCCATCTTGCACGGATCCAGTCACTACTGTCCAAACCTGCCAGCCCCTTCACATCAGGCTTTCCCCCGGTACATACCCTCGGCAGACCTCTCTACCACAGTTGGGTGCACTCAGGGGCCGTGACCTGGTCTCAGTCCTGCGCCAAGTCCATCCCCACAATCAGGGGCTCTGGTGAAAAGGCAGACTGGGGCTTAAACTCCGCGCCCTGGGGAATCCTGGTCTGTGGGTCGCTAGAGATCCCGCCGGGCGGTGCCTGGCAGTACCTTACGGCCTGCCTGACCATTCCACCTCTCCAGCCCTGACTACGCCTGTGTTCCTGAAGCCTGCTACTTCCCTGTGTCAGTCCACACATTTCTGGTCATACCCGGATCCCTAACAACACCAGTTTGGGTTACAGTACATCCTCACCTTCAGGAGGGTTCAAGGTTAGTACCCTTGATTTTTTTTTTCCAGCTTAGAGTCATTCCCCTCTATCCAAATACATCTATGCCTGCTTTTCAGGAGCTTGGTTGTTTGTTTATTCAGGTAATATCTTTCCTTATCATGGACCTCCCTTTCCCTGAAGTCAAGGCTTAGGGGTGTTTAGCTTAGGTCTCATACTATTGACTGACTGGTCCTTTCTCCTGACCTACTATGTCTTTCGAACCTCCTTCTCCTGAAGTTAAGGGTTAACTATGCTAGGCTTCAGATACTCTTTTGCAGAATTGTCTTCACACCTCTTGGACCATTTAGTGACTCCTGCACACTCCTCATTTGGACTTCTTTTGGATATCCTGACAGTTTAAGAACTCCTGAATACCTATGTCCCTCAATTGGTGATGCAGATAATAAAATGTTTGTGCTTTACTGTACGTTTTCTTGAAGTTCATTGAGAGATGCATATCCTGCCCCTCTTTGTTATTGGCTCTGTGTACCTCCTGCTTACAAAGCTGAGGTATGACGGTTGGAGGGTTCCATAGGGTTCAATCTTGAGTTGGTCAACCCTTTGCAGCTACAACAGCTTCAATTCTTCTGGGAAGGCTGTCCACAAGTTTTCGGAGTGTGTCTATGGGAATATTTGACCATTTTTCCAGAAGCGCATTTGTGAGGTCAGGCACTGATGTCAGAAGGCCTGGCTCACAGTCTCTGCTCTAATTCATCCCAAAGGTGTTTTATCAGATTGAGGTGCAGACCAGTCAAGTTCCTCCACCCCAAACTAGCTCATCCACGTCTTTATGGACCTTGCTTTGTGAACTGGTGCGCAGTCATGTTGGAACAGGAAGGGGCCGTCCCCAAACTGTTCCCACAAAGTTTGGAGCATGAAATTAGCCAAAATGTCTTGGTATGCTGATGCCTTAAGAGTTCCCTTCACTGGAACTAAGCCAAACACCATAATCCCCCCTCATAATCCACCAAACTTGGCACAATGCAGTCATGCAAATACTGTTCTCCTGGCAACCGCCAGAGCATATGTCTCCACTGCTCTAGAGTCCATGCTTTACACCACTGCATCTGACGCTTTGCGTTGTACTTGGTGATGTAAGTGCTTGGTGCTTGAATGCATCTGTTCAGCCATGGAAACCCATTCCATGACGTTCTCTACACACTGTGCTAAACTGAAGGCCACACGAAGTTTGGAGGTCTTTAGCTATTGACTCTGCAGACAGGTGGTGACCTCTGTGTGCTTCAGCATGCGCATACCCTGCTCTGTCATTTTACGTGGCCTACCATTTCGTGGCTGATTTGCTGTTGTTCCCAGTTGCTTCCACTTTGTTATAATACAGCTAACAGTTGTATTTAGTAGCAAGAAAATTTCACGGATAGACTAATTACACAGGTGGCAACCTATCATGGTATCAAGCCTGAATTCACTGAGCTCCTGAGAGAGACCCATTCTTTCACAAATGTTTGTAGAAGCAGTCTGCATGCCTAGGTGCTTGATTTTATACACCTGTGGCCATGGAGGTGATTGAAACACCTGAATCCAATGATTTGGAGGGGTGTCCCAATACTTTTGGCAATATAGTGTGTACATAATATACTGTATTTTTCACTCCATAAGACGTACTTTTTCCTCCCAAAAAATTGGGGAAAATGTCTGTGCGTCTTATGGAGCAAATATGGAGTGGCCAGCACAGAATTTCCACCTCTGCCATGTTAGAATACTGGGCCGGCCGCTCGGCTCTTCTGTGCTCCTCGGTCCTACCTGTTCCTCGGTCCAGTGCTGTTCTCATCGTCTTCTCTCCTGGGGCCGGCATCTTTAGTATGGGTACCTGGCTGTGACAGCTTGCAGCATCACATCAAGGTACCCACTGCGCATGCTTGAGAAGCGCTGCACTTTGTGAATGGTCCGGCAGTCTTCTGGGTCCTGTCATGTGTCCCAGATGATGGGGAGGGAGGACAACTCTGTGGAAGTGGGGGCGCCTACCTGTCAAATTTGGGTACCCCCTCCTCTACTCCCCAAAGGTCTGCAGTGTTTTGTCATCCCCTTTACTATGTATGCAGTGGCTGGTCATCTCCTGTAGCATGTCTGCAGTCTCTGGTCATCTCCTGTACTATGTCCGCAGTCTCTGGTCATCTCCTGTAGTATGTCTGCAGTCTCTGGCCATTTCCTGTACTATGTCTGCAGTCCATTGGTTCAGAACATTATTTTTATTGTTTTCCTCCTCTAAAACCTAGGTGCGTCGTATGGTCAGGTGCTTCTTATGGAGCGAAAAATACGGTGTATATATATATATATATATATATATATATATATAGATATAGATATAGATATGATAAGATATTCACTCCACTGTTTTCTGTGTGTGGATTGGTTATTATCAGATCTAGAAAACAGAAGGGGCAGATCACTTCTTTGTGTCAGTTGGTATACTGAAGTGCTATATACTGTATGTATTCAAGATAATTTTCTCAACTGTGAAATACAATGTTTTGTTTCTATATGAACTATAAAAGGACAGCACAGTTCAAAGAGAGGCATGCTTGGATTTTTTCATGCCCTGAGAAAGCTGTGTTAGCATCCTTCCCACGTATGTAAAACATTCGATAAAAGCTTTGCTTCCAGCTCACCACTTGATATTGGAATGGATAGTGTTTGGCAATAATCCTAACTGCCTAATTATAAGTTGGTTTCTGTAAAGGAAATAAACAAGCAAACATTTTTTTTTTCCTGTCAGGTATACACTTGCACTAGAAAACATTGGTCTTTTTTATTTCAAATACTTTTATTTTTATTATGGTGTCTTATGTTAAAGGTTTACCATAAGCTTTTAACATTTATAAAGGATTTACATAGTCTATAACTGGATTACACAGAATATAACTGGATACTAACATTTATAGGTAAAGCTGATCCAGGGAATATTCGATTGCCTCTCGGGGGATCAGGAAGGAATTTTTTTCCCAACAGGTGCAAATTGGATCATGTTTTGCTGGGTTTTTTTTTGCCTTCCTCTGGATCAACTGTGGGTATAGGATTATAATTTTTTTTTTAATGGTTGAACTGGATGGACTTTTGTCATTTTTTGCTGCTCCATAAAGACTTATGATGGTTTTTAACATTCTAAAGATGTTATAAACCTCAGTTTTGTTCATAAAAAGGAGACATTTAAAACATTCATTTTAATGTTTAAAAGTCCAGTTGAGTCACGGAAATATATATATGATCATACAGTGTATAAACATGGTATAGTAGTTGTGCAGGATGTCTAAATAGAGCTGTGCAGTCCAATAGACATAAGAGATAAGCTGGGTATACACAATCAGTTTTTATTTGTTCAACCAGCGTGTTGCAGCTGTGTGATTTATTTATTATAGGTACTTATGTATATAGCAATGTCAACTCGCACAATGCTTTTACAAATATATTTTGTACTTTTACATCAGTCCCTGCTCTCTAGCAACTTATAATCTAAGGTCCCTAACTCACATTCATGCATACACATACTAGGGCTAATTTAGACAGGAGCCAAATAAATTGGTTGTAAAGGCTCAAGGTTTTTTTCTACCTTCATGCATTCTATGCATGAAGTTATAAAAAACCTTCTGTGTGCACCAGTCCCCTTAATACTTACCTGAGCCCCATCACGATCTAGCGATATGCACTAGAGCCTCAGCTCCTCGGGCACTCTCCCTCCTCATTGGCTGAGACAGCAGAAGAAGCCATTGGCTCACGCTGTAGACCTAGTGCACTTGGTGGTCTGTGTATATGAGGGGTGTGGCGGTTACTCACCTCTGCCAGTACAGAGCACCGAGTTGTGAGCCCAGAAAGCACAATTTTCATTGAGAGAAAAGGGCACATTATTGAGTTTCTAAACAAATATCACTTACAAATAACAACATGTGGATGCAAACAACTATAAAAAGAAATGAAAGGGATGAGATTTTAATTGTGACCTATGTATAATAACGATAGTTAAGAAAAAAATATACCTATGCCTCAATAACACTTTAACTATTTGCACAGTGTTGTTGCGCATTCAAATATTCTGATAACTTAGCACACCATGTTCCGATTTGTAAATGCCATAAATAATATACAACCTTTTTAGAGTATATTTTCACTTTTTAGAAATTGAAGCAAATCACACATTTTTAGATGTTAATAGTTAATTTATGCCAATTTTTGATTTAGGACTTTCTGCTGCTAAACTGCTCAAAGAGTCAGGAATTAATGTGCTGCTATTGGAAGCTCAAAACAGAGTTGGTGGACGAACACACACTATACGAGTAAGTGAAACATTCATGTCTCCATTATATTTTATACAGTAGTTTTGGGGTTTAGCTTAATTCCATCATTTTTTTTTGGTTGAAAATGTTTTCTTTGCTTGACCTATTTGGTATTTGGAATTATACCTGGAGTAATAGCAAGGTTTATTAAGTTAAAGTCCTGCCAGTTACTGCTCTTCCCATTGCAGTCTTATTGCTTCATAGTTATCAGCAAAGTTATGATCTTGCCATGAGAGTACCTTCAGTCTACCTAGAAAGGCTATTGGATAGGCAGCCTAATAGCCAATTGGAAAAGCTCACATGGCAGGTTGACAACGCTGCTGCTAATTATAAGGCAATGGCTTAAATTCTGGGTCTCCGTTAAAAAGCTAATAAACAAACTCCAGTCAGAATTTTTTATTTTATTTATGGAAAGGTTTCTTCACAGTAAGAGCAGTGAAAATGTGGAATAGACTCCCTCAAGAGTTCTGGCCAGCTCAGGGGATTGCTTTAAAAAAGGCCTGGATTCTTTCCTAGACACACAGAATATAACTGGATACTAACATTTATAGGTAAAGTTGATCCAGGGAATATCTGATTGCCTCTCGGGGGATCAGGAAGGAATTTTTTTTCCCTGCAGGAGCAAATTGGTATATGCTTTGCTGGGCTTTTTGCCTTCCTCTGGATCAATTGTGGGTGTAGGATTATAACTTTTTTTTTTTTTTTATGGTTGAGCTGGATGGACGTCTTTTTTCAGCCAGACTAACTATGTAACTATGTAATTATTTTGGATAGGATGGGAAGGGTTAAGTCTTTTGTCAGGATCTTCTCTCCATCTGTGTTCCTACAGGGGATATTCTCCTTCAGTTCCTGTCAGGACAGGGAATGATGTGAAATTTGCTATGTAGAAATTACTTTTCATTTTTACATTTATGCTGCTATTGTTGAGTAAGCAGCTGAAAAGCAAAAATAGCTGACTATACAGCAAAACCTTCGCACCCAGGAGTGGAGATGTGCATGTCAGAAAATACTGTTTCATTTTGTTTTGGATTTGTTCATTAAGTTAATAACTTTGTGTCGTATGTGTTATGTTATTATGATTCGTTTTCAGAATTAATTTCATATATTCAGATTCGTTCCATATATTCTTTATTTTCAACGCAATTTGAAATTGAAATTCGAAATCTGAATTTCGAAAGACAGTTATAGTTGTGCTATTTTATTCTAATCTATTCTATTTTATTCTTTTCTATTGTATTCTATTCTTTTATATTTTGTTTTATGCTATTCTTTTCTATTTCTTTCTTTTTTATTCTGTTCTATTCTATTTTTTTTTCTATTCTATAAAGCAGCCTAAGTAGGATTATTCATCTTATTTCACTTTTATACCTTACTGTATTTATTGCAATATGTTTCCATTTCAAATTCAAATTAATTTTCAAATTCAAAATAATTTTCAAATTCATATCATTTGTTTTATTATAATTTATTTTGGATTTTTTTTAAATTAGTTACTCTTGTGATTTGGAAATTCAGATACATCCGTATCTCTTAATAACAAAAATGTCGTCAAAATTTAAACTCACAATGAAACGAAAAGCACATACCTACTCAGAAGCACTCAACACCAGTCTGTGCCTCAACACTGTCTATAATTGTTTAGAACGGCTGAACACACAATTCATTTTTGTGCAGCTTAAAGGAACCATAAAACCTATAGTAACTGCCATATGTTCTCATTATATAGTGTTCAAGCACTGCTTTTCAGTACTACTCATAGTTTTTGTGTCATGGGCCTGAATTATACTGAATTAGGGACCTTTTGTGCTATCTACACTTTCAGAAGGATGTGAGCCCTAAAAAGGGTCAAGGTACAGAGTCTTAATACCACCAGATCTTTACCAGAAATATGATGGAGGTTATTGAAGGGTGATCCAAGGTTGTGCCAACCTGTGCAGGTGGCAGCAGAACCAGAGCGTGGTACAGAGTCAACAGGCAGACACAGAAACAGGCAAAAACAGGGCACAGCACACTATTGGCATAGTTATCACTTTTAAATGTAATTAAAGCAATATAATAAAATGAATGCACAAGAAGGGAGTAAAAGAATACTTATCTGTGATTCAGAAGTCATTCCTATGTCCAGACCAGAAAACTTTCAGCTGTGACCATCTGAAAGGTGTCTAGGATGCTGGGATTGGCTCAGTGGGATCCACATTGTTAGATGGAAGGTTTGGCATGCAGCGGCTGAGAGGAGTGAAGTTCCTCTCACTCTCTGGGTCACCATGGGTTGCCAAGATGATGCGTTTTTTTGGGTTTTTTTGGGGGGTGGGGTATTTTCTTAAACCTAAAAAGGCAGCTTGAGAAATCTCAGCAGGATTTGTATTGGATCTACACCTTATCATTCTAAATGTTAGCAGAATGTTAACCTGTTCTTTTGCACTCTGGATTTTTACCTTTGGAGCTACAACAACAGGGACAGTCCAAAGGTCAGGACAGGCAGCAAACAAGTGCATAAAAGATGATGCTGGTAGCCAGAGAAGCTGGAATGCAGGAGCTTACAAACTGGAGCCTTGGACTTGGAAGTTTGCCTGTTGTCAAGTAATCGGTGTTGGCCTGAGTTCAGCAAAATAGTGAAATTGAGTGAAAGGCTGGGCAGGGTCTGGTTGTGTTGCTGCTGTAATCTGAACACAATTACCTCTCAGTTATGTGGATCAGAGTAGGCTACAGTACAATGTAAGTGAGATTACATGGTAATAGAACTAGATAGAGTTGCAGATCAGCTTTGCTGCTGATCTGTGACATCATTATTTGCTGCTTCTCACAATTCTATAGGTTTTTGTGCTAATGGAATAGCATATATTTATTTGCTGAATTTTCAGTTCGCTATCATGCTGTAATTACCTTGCATATCCATTCATTTGCAAAGAAAATTGTTTTACTTTTTTTTTTAATTAACAAAATCATGTAATATGATGACTGGATCAGAACAGTTTCACTTCATTCACTAAGCTAAATGAAATTTTACTTTACTAAATAAAGAGTGTATGCTCCTTAAAAGAGCAGTATGGGTTTTTTCTTCCCCAAATTATACTTATCTAGGTGGATGGTGCTTCGATCCCCCACTGGCTCTAAGTGTGAGAACTCAGCGATCACATGACTGCTGATCACTGATTGATCGCTGAGTTCTCACCGCCTCTCTGAGCAGAGAGCAATGACTGTCAGATGGCTGACAGGTTGAGCCAAGGCTGCTCCACTGGGGTTGGATCCCAACTTTAAAGTCGAGATCTTTCCCCAGCTTGGAAGAGATGAATGATATCAGTCGACAGCGGTCTTTACCCTGCTGTCAGCTGAAACAGGGTCACAGGAGTGAAGAACGAACTGCACTCCTGTGAGCTTTGGCTGTACTTTAAGCTAATAAACCCTTATGAGTTGGCTGACTTGTTTAAGCCAATGCCTGACAATTGTTAAAAGACAAACAGTAATTGCACTGTTTCACTGGAAGCTCCATCCAGTTGTAATATAATGGAAGAACAAGCTTCTAAAAATGTAAACCTCATATAAAAAGTTAATGCAGGGAATCACTGCAAAAATAACTAAAAAACGCCCTATACATTCCATTAATGCAAACACTGACAGACTCGGTGAAAAAGAAAAAGATGGTGTATCTAATGATGAACTGCTGCACATGCTTGCATCCCTTGGCAACAGATTACCTATTTGGTATTGATCATATAGGTGGAAAAAAGCATCTGTGAACCTTCTGGAATTCTCTGGATTTCTGCTGGAATGGTTACTAAAATGTGGACTGATCTTTATTAAAATTACAATAATAAATATAGACATTCTACCAACATACAAAAACTTTTCTATTGACATACTTTAAACAATTGGTTGTTATACTAAAGGAGTTGAGAATCTTCACACAATAAATTGTAGGAATATTCACTTTAAAGTGTTAGTTCACTTTTTTCAAAAACTGCCTTTGTAGGTAATCAAAAATCAATTAAAAAACAAACTGTGCAGCTTTTGCTAAACTTGGATAATGACTTTGCTATAGAAGCCCTGTCAGTAGTGATAGTGCACCACTGGACGACTTTGTTCTAAGGTAAGTATTTCATAATGTGCTAGTATGCAATGCTTAACCACTTGCCCTCTAGAGGATTTACCCCCCTTCCTGACCAGGCCATTTTTTGCGATACGGCACTGCATTCATTTAACTGATAATTGCACAGTCATGCAATGCTGCACCATAATGAAATTTATGTCATTTTTCCCACAACTGGAGCTTTCCTTTGGTGGTATTTGATCGCCTCTGTGTTTTTTACTTTTTGTATTTTTTTTAGCTTTTGCTATAGAAGTTGTCCAGTAAAAAAAAATGTAAAAATCAAATTTTGTTATAAATTTAGACCAAAATGTATTCTGCTATATGTGTTTGCTAAAAAAAATCCCACTACATGTAAATTAATTGGTTTTACTTGAAAGATATAGCGTCTACAAATGGTGGTATATATACCGGAATTTTTTTTATACTAGTAATGGCGGCGATCAGCGACTTATAATGGGACTGCAGGACTGCGGCGGGCATTCTGACACTGGGGGTACTTGGTTTGGGCCCCTTTTGCAGCAATTACTGCTCAATGTGGCATGGCATGAAAGCTATCAGCCTGTGGCACTGCTGAGGTGTTATGGAAGACCAGGATGCTTCAATAGCGGCCTTCAGCTCTTCTGCATTGTTCGGTCTTATGTCTCTCATCTTTCTCTTGTCAATGCCCCATAGATTCTCTATGGGGTTCAGGTCAGGCGAGTTTGCTGGCCAATCAAGCACAATAACCCACGGTCATTGAACCAGGTTTTGGTGCTTTTGGCAGTTTCCTGACAATCAGCATCTCCAGACTGTCTGTGGAAGGAAGTATGAAGTGCTCCAAAATCCCTGCTGCTTGTGAAGCACAGTTTTGGCTTCCACACAGACTTGGAAACTTCACATGGACTTCACTTCCTGGACTTCCACTGTGTGCCTCTCCAACTTACTCTCATTGGTTTCCAATGTGCAAATTTGCTCTCACAGAAAAGAGGACTTTGGGAAACAGACCAGGTCCAAAGACGCTTCTTTTTTGCAATTACCTTTTATGAGGCTTTCCCTCCTTCCATGGTCCCCAACACTTTTGAATGTCAATGACTGGTTTTGCTGCTTGTGCACAACTGTCAGGTTCCACAGTAACTTTCTCTTAATGATACAGTTTGATCCAACTACTGAATTACCTTTTGAGACTGGAGGGTGTCAATGACCATTTAAAGGCAGTCTTTCCCATGATTGTAACCAGACTGAGAGACCATTGCAAGTGTTAGGTATTATGGCTTAATTAGCTGATTAGAGTGGGACACTTTGAGCCTAGAATATTGCACCTTTTCACAATATTCTAATTTTCTGGGATTGTGGATTTGGGGTTTTCATGAGCTGTAAGCCATAATCATCACAATTATGACAAATCATGGCTTGAACTATCTTGCTTTGCATGTAATGAGTCTATCTCATATATTAGTTTCACCTTTTAAGTTGCATTACTGAAATAAATGAACTTTTGCACGATATTCTAATTTTTTGAGTTTCACCTGCATGTATGTACTGTACATATATATATATATAATGTGATTTTGCACAGCCCTGCCGCCCTGTAGCAGTAGTTCTGCTGTGGGGCGGTCATTGCCATTGCCTTGCAAGGGATTTTTTATTTTAAAGAACGCAGTTTTCTACCAATTTATTGGTAAGGCAAAATAGTGAAGCCACAGTGGGAATACATTGCATTTTAATGTATGCCTTTGCTGTACTTTTCTCCTTCCTTAATCACCACAACATCTTGAAAGACTGTGCAGAAGTAGTTTACAGAACTATTTACTATTAATTACAATATAAATATTTAATGAATGTGTCAAAAGCCTATGATGTATTTTTCCTTTCTGACAGAACAAGGAAGTTCAATATGTGGATGTTGGAGGTGCATACGTGGGACCAACTCAGAATCGATTATTACGAATGGCTAAAGAACTGGGTGTGCAGACATATAAGGTGTATTTAAATGGCCACCTTATACAACGGCAAAGGTAAGATTGCTATATCTGAAATATTTTAGCCATTAAAGTGATACTAAACATACAATGTTTAATTGCCATCATACCTTCTATTTATAAATAAAGATAATGAGGTTGCATGATGTTTCCCAGGTCTTTTCTGTCCCCATGGGAAAGGAAGGAGTTTCAAGTACTCTGCTGATGTTTAAATCTGCATTTGCACAGCGCTGATTGGTGCTGTGCATGTCACATGACATTAAAATAAAAGCTTCCAGACTATAAAATTAAAATAAATAATTTATATCAACAAAGTGTTTTAATGCTTCATTTCCTTTGAAACTATATTTCAAAGGAAATGTTTATTATTTTTTTGCCATAACATGGTGTAGATGGAGTTTAAGTTGACTGACAACAGCTTTCACTTTGCAATGTGGAGGAAGTTCTGCCAATCACTAGTTGTGTCACACCCCTAAAGCCTGTGTCTATGGTGTGTATTTGCTGGGACTAATAGGAAGGTAAAACCTCCCTCAATCACCATCTTATATTCCGCCCCCATAGTGTTTAGCAATATGGGGAAATGGAGGGAAGGGGAGTGTCATGTACCACTGTGTATACACCCACATGTGTGACAGTTGCATGGGATGCCCAGATAAGAAAGAGAAGGAAATGAAAAGCTTACAAGGGACCTGAAACTGGAGCATGCTCAGTAGATTTCAACAGCTGGTTTACTCAATCTCAGGCTGCAGTAGGGACACAGAAAAGGAGAGAGGGATAATGAACAGCAGGATCAATCATAATTTTTGCAGTCTACACAAAATAAATGCCCTTGTGTATGAATGAGTATGAACACAATGTAATATAATATAATATTTATTGACAGTTTTTGATGATTAGAGTTTAATGATACTTTAGGTGTAAAATACATGAATAAATATACAAAGAATCCCCCTGCACTCCACAGAACCTCGTAACCAAAAGTTAGCTGCTATCACCTATTCTTTATACCTTAAGATATGTGCAAACAAATTTTATATATTATGATGAAGCGCTCAACTTATATAAAGTGAAAAATACCTCCTTCCAAAATTATTATAAAATAATCAAAATATACAGAAACTAAATTATCATCAATCTATATAAGATAACTAGTGCAAAATCCCCACACACAAAATTATAGGCCCCCTAGTGGTAAATTGTGATAATCAACTAATAACACTTTAACTGTGCAAAGTGATAAATATATCCAATTATATAAAAAAAACAATTCAAAATCAATTCAGAAAAATTTGTGATGCCACACTGTGCAAAATAATAAAAGTGTTCAATACACGGTGGTTATAACTTCACTCCATGCTGCAATTGTGCTCTTCGTGATACTCTGATGTGACTCCCCAGAATTTAGCCAAAATGCCCCCTCACCTTCCACATTCGACCCTTGCGGGTCACAAAGCTTTATATATGTAATATATCTCTGCCAGGTTTTTCATCCTCCACTGCCTCCACCGACTTAATTAAGATCCTCCTCCAAGCAATGAATTCCTCTCAAATCACTTCCCTCACAATATGGACTCAAACACAGGGCGTATATGCAAGAAAAAGACAGACCTCCATAGTGCAACACTATGCATCTTCTCTCTGTTGGAGGATATGTGAGTGCGATTTTGCTTTCTATCTTTAAGTGCATTAAAACAGTGTTGCACTATGGAGGTCTGTCTTTTTCTTGCATATACGCCCTGTGTTTGAGTCCATATTGTGAGGGAAGTGATTTGAGAGGAATTCATTGCTTGGAGGAGGATCTTAATTAAGTCGGTGGAGGCAGTGGAGTATGAAAAACCTGGCAGAGATATATTACATATATAAAGCTTTGTGACCCGCAAGGGTCGAATGTGGAAGGTGAGGGGGCATTTTGGCTAAATTCTGGGGAGTCACATCAGAGTATCACGAAGAGCACAATTGCAGCATGGAGTGAAGTTATAACCACCGTGTATTGAACACTTTTATTATTTTGCACAGTGTGGCATCACAAATTTTTCTGAATTGATTTTGAATTGTTTTTTTATATAATTGGATATATTTATCACTTTGCACAGTTAAAGTGTTATTAATTGATTATCACAATTTACCACTAGGGGGCCTATAATTTGTGTGTGGGGATTTTGCACTAGTTATCTTATATAGATTGATGATAATTTAGTTTCTGTATATTTTGATTATTTTATAATAATTTTGGAAGGAGGTATTTTTCACTTTATATAAGTTGAGCGCTTCATCATAATATATATAATTTGTAAAATACATGGCCCACAGTTTGGATATTTGTTATTTAATGAGACAAAACAATTCCAAGAAACCTTATAGCTTACAGCGAACACTGTAATGTACCTACTTTTACCTCTGTTGTCTAGGAATTCTCTACTGCTCTTCTGATTTGCTGTACGACTAAGGGTTATACTTCCCCGATTTTGATGTAAAACTTCACCCTTCTCTGATTTGACAGTGGTTCAGTGCCTGGACAAGATTTAGCTCTAAAAAGTTGATATGTTTACTTTAAGTTTGATTTATAAATTTTTTGGTCACTATTTTCATTTTTCAGGGTAAATCATACAAATTTAATGGAGCTTTCCCACCTGCATACAACCCTTTGGTATATTTGGATTATAACAATTTTATGAGAACTATGGATCAGTGGGGAAGTCAGGTAAAATGTTTATATTTCTTCTTATTTTTTGCATATGTTTGAGTACTATACAGTAATATAGCTAATTGTAATAGTATTTTTTTACATAAAGTGATACTAAAGTCTTGTTTTTTTTTTTTTTAAATAACATATTGTCATATTTACCTGCTCTGTGCAGTGGTTTTGCACAGAGCAGCCCGGATCCTCCTCTTCTTGGGTCCCTCCTTCCTGTTAGGTGCCCCCATAGCAAGCAACTGTGTCCATTCACACACAGAGGATGGCCCCACCCCATCTATTTCCTGATTGGCTCACTAGCTGTGGCTCCCATTGCTGTCTCAGCCAATCAGGAGTTAGAACCGAGGCTCTCATGAAAATTACTGGATTGGGATGGGGCTCAAGCAAATGTTAGAGTGGGCTGCTACACACAGAAGGTTTTTTTACCTTCATGCTTAGAATGCACAAAGGTAAAAAACCTTAAGCCTTTATAATCATTTTAATAGGAGAAAAAAATAATTAAACTTAAAGTGGTTGTAAAGGCTCAAGGTTTTTTTTACTTTTGTGCATTCTGTGCATGAAGGTAAAAAAAACCTTCTGTGTGCAGCAGCTCCCCCAGCCCTCTCAATACTTACCTGAGCGTCATCGCGATCCAGCGATGTGAATGACAGCTTCGGCTGTCCCGGGTCTCTGCCTCCTCATTGGCTGAGACAGCAAGCGGGAGCCATTGGCTCCCGCTGCTGCCAATCACAGCCAGTCAGCCAATGAGGAGAGAGGGGGGACGGGGCCAAGCTGTGACTCTGTGTGTGAATGGACACACTGAGCAGCGGGTGCCCCCATAGCAAGCTGCTTGCTGTGGGGGCACCCGACAGGAGGAGCCAGGAGAGCTTGCGGAGGACTCCAGAAGAGGAGGATCCAGGCTGTTCTGTGCAAAACCACTGCACAGAGCAGGTAAGTATAAATATGTTTGTTATTTTACAAAAACAAAAAAAAAAAATGAACCTTTAGAATCACTTTATCCACTTGCCCTCCAGAGGATTTATCCTTCCTCCTGACCAGGCAATTTTTTGCATTACGGCACTGTAGTATATTGTGTGTTTTTTATATATATACATATCTATATCTATATCTATATATATATAATATATATATATATATAGATATAGATATAGATATATAGATAGATAGATAGATAGATAGATAAATTGATTGACAGATATTGAAGATATTGAAACACATTCTTGGACAGGCCAGTGACAAGACCACTTTGCACATCAAAATAACTCTTTGCTCATGAGAGCTACCTAGGTGCATATTATAGATTGGACATATGCTGGATGGTGTTGTATCTCCACGTTTAATATGAAGTATCTTAAATGGGACTCTGAGGGCTGTTGTTTGTTGTAATATTTACAAATAATATAGATTGGATTTTTGTAATCTTGCAAATATCTTTATCAGAATAAATGCATCTCTCTGGAATAGAACCGTTGGAATAGTTGCTGCTGGAAAATACATTTATAAATACACTCGTCATCTGTCATCCACCAATAAATAAAGGACAACAGGCGCTGCATTACTTTAACTGACCTGACAATTGCACGGTCATGCAACAAATTCAATTTATGTCCTTTTTTCCCACAAATAGAGCTTTCTTTTGGTAGTATTTGATCGCCTCTGCATTTTTAATTTTTTTGCGCTATAAACAAAAAAAGACCAACAATTAAAAAAAAAAACCAAAACAATATTTTTGACTTTTTGCTATAAAACATGTCCAGTAAAAAAATTAAAAACATCTAATTTCTTCATAAATGTAGGCCAAAATGTATTCTGCTACGTCTTTGCTAAAAAAAATTCCAATACATGTAAATTAATTGGTTTACGTGAAAGTTATAGGGTCTACAAATGAAAGTATATATACTGGAATTATTTTTTTTATACTAGTAATGGCGGCAGTTAGCGACTTTTAGAGGGATTGCAGCAGGAATTCTGACACTGGGGGGGACTGTCTAACTGCCACTGACATCCTAATGACACTAATAGTGATCAGTGCTAATTCAAAGCACTGACACTATACAAATGACACTTGGGAGGGAGGGGTTTAACATTTGGAGCAATTAAAGGGTTAACTGTATGCTGTGTGCTGTTTTACGAAGTGTGCTGTATGTGTTTTACTTGGGAAACATACTGCTGTGTATTTCTCTGCTGTCCTCAGAAATACACAGCAGCATGTTACTTTTGGCAGGAGAGAGACCTGTGTTGTTTATACATAGGTCTCTCCCCTGTCAGTGATTCTTGGCGATTGCCGGGTGCCGGCGGAGAATCTCCGGCCGTGACCTGGTGATCGACATCTGTAGCTGCTAATGGCCCGCGCCCCTATGTGGAATTGCAAAATCACATATATCAATTTTGCGCAGCCCTGACGCCCTGTAGCAGTAGTACTGCTATAGGGCGGTAGGGAAGCGGTTAAAGTGGTATTGCACCCAAAATGTATTTTTTGCAGCTTACCAATTAGGGCTTGTTTACACAACCAGCCAGGAAGTGGTACATTGAAATGCAGCTGCTCAGTTCTGTACACATGCTTATGCCGAACATGATCCCTGACCCATGAAGGTCTATGGGGTGGCATTTACAGGGTTATATCAATCAATGAGGAGGTGACATTCCCACCAACCATAAGCATATATGCAGCCTTATGGAAGTTGGCTTTTATCCGTAGGGCCACATATATGCGTATCTTTCTTTGTGCTGGGAGCACACCACACAGCACAGAGACCGGACTCTCACCAAGAGTTCCAGGTCTTATACTAACGATCAGGACCTGGGACTCATGGTTCGGGTCACCTGATCGCTGTGATAGCCTCTGATTGGCTATCCCATTGATTAGTCACTGTGCAGTCTACCCATATGTTTACTCCTCTTATCTTTCTGTCCTTGCAGGAGAGAAAAATGTAAACAAAAAAAGCGAAAAAAAAAGTAAAGAAAAAGCTAGATCTAGGTTAGTGTTAGGGTCAAGGTAAGAGTCAAAGGTCAGGGTAAGTATATTTTGGGTAGGATTTAAATTTTACATTTCCAGCAGCAGGTGGAGCATTAGGGTCCTTTTTAAAGGCTCAATAAATCAAGCTGGAATACACAGTGGGATGAATCAGAGCAATAACTCCCACCCCTTTCTCCCCCTGTTTAGATAGGGATTTTTGACATTTCGTTTTTTAAAATTCTGTAAATGAGCCACTGGTGCACCATGCAATAAATGTTTATTTGTAAAATAAATATTTTTGTTTTTTTTCTCTTGTCTTAAATAGATGGTAAGTTTTTTCAGCTCTAGCTCAACAATCTTATTTTATGTATATAAAAGCAAACAACATTCCTTGGGATAGCATGGGCCAAGAAAGGTTTTCTTTATTGGGAGATCTGGGGTCTATTAGACCCCATCTCTCCCCTTTGTCCTTGAAAGCAGTTGATGAAACGGAGATCAGTTTGATCGGCTGCTTTACAAACTGGTAACGACTTGTATACAACAAACAGAAACTGAAAGCGACTAAATCGCTAAGTGTCTTCTCTGATCTGCCCCTTCTTCCACAGACCCCAGTCCATCTGTTGATAGAACAGAACCTTGGAGGCAAGCTGCACATGCTCAGTTTGGTGTGTGTTGCTAGATAGTTTTGTCTTTTCTTGGGACAATTCATGTGATCAGCACAGGATCAATCAGTGCTGTCCAGACAGAGGGTCAGGGGTCCTGCAGCCTCTTAGGGAACAATGTAAACTCCTCCTACGAGCTTTAACCATTGCTCTGCTGGACATTGATAGAAGTCACAAGACTGCTATATACTGCTGATAAGAAAAGGTATTTAGCAGTGTATATTTACTAAAATAATTGCATTTCTATGTTCTGTGTACTGTGGGAGACCAGATATAGTGAATGCAGGGTCCTTGGTTTAGTAACACTTTAATGTTGCCAATGAATTATATAGTGTTCTTTATAGGTATGTATTGCATTTCAAATAATTGTTGAACACTTACTGCTTTTTATAGATTCCTGCTGATTCTCCATGGAAAGCACCACATGCCAAAGAGTGGGATAACATGTCAATGAGAGAATTTATAGAAAAAGTGTGCTGGACAAGGTACATTGTTACAAATTATTTATTTAGGTTGAAAAAGACAAGTGTGCTAGTAACTCCACTTTTGTTGCAATAAAAGCATTCCTCTCTGGGGGATCTATATACATTGCAGGGATTTTAGCACACTTTGTAGATCCTTACCATTTGTTATTCTGAAGAAATGGCTGTTTGTCCGTGTCCATGTACAGACTGAATCTGTATAGGAGTGATTTTATAACTATCAATCAGCTGCTACTCCTGCAGGGATCTATAGAGAAAAGTGGCAATGTCTGCACCCCTTTAGAAGTGATTTCCCTTTGGGAGTATGCCCAAATATGTATATATAAAGCCCACAATAAAGACCAATTGTGGGCATTTGTATGTCTTGTGCACACTTATATCCACCATCTTTGGGTGTATTTGCGGAGCTGGAGTCTTACTTTGGAAAGTTCTGTGATTGTGACAGAATGGGCCTAATCCTATTATCTGGTACACCCATATCTCTTTTCCTTGTTTGTAACTGCTGATTGAAGGGTCTTCTGGGATTCATATGATCATGGCTCCTTGGTTGCCTCATGGAAAATCAGATGCCATCGTCTAAACTATGTGTGAAGCAGTCTTTTGTTCTGCGAAATGCGTAGAAGAAAATTTCTAAGACATTACATACAAGCTGTACATACACCCATTGTACTGAATATGGGAATCTTTTTGAATATTTGGTAAACAAGCTTGATGGTTTTTTTAGTCACAATATGTAATAGCTTTTATACACTGAGTTATATTCATGTTCAAATGTCCTATTTCAATTGTGTTTTTAATGGTGTTTCATAAAGCTATACATCTTTTACAATTTGTGTATGGAGTTTTGTCGATATGATGCCCGATAAAGCCCCAGTAGTGTCTTTTTTATTAGGGCCCTTTTTTCAGTGTCTTTTCATTAAGGGGTTTGGCACCAGTAAAATTCATTATAAAGGGTGGAGACCATTGTATATATATGAGTCTCTCTCTCCCTTTTTCTCTGTAATAATGGTTATGGATTACCCTACTTTTCTCGCCACCATCTCACTGCCATCCATAAAAAGCACAAAAAATAACCAATCCTATACAGCTTCACTTGGTAAAGCATACTCCTCTTGTGGATATTTAGGAAAGCATATAGTTCTTCTTGTGTATAACTCTATATATTTATTTATTCAGTCAAGGCAGGAAGTTTGCAGAGCTCTTTGTAAATTTGGTTGTGACAGCCGAGACTCAACAAGTTTCCACACTTTGGTTTCTATGGTATGTAAACATCTGTGGAGGAACAGCAAGAATTTTTTCAACAGACAATGGAGGACAGGTAGGTATTAAAAGCTCACTACAAATTCAAGATAATATTGATATCCATAGTCCCAGTTTGTAATAAAAAAATAAAACTGAATTGTCTATAATTATAAAACAGAGATTCTAGCACAATTTTTAGGATCTGAAGGCATGGACATTCTTTAGAAGGTGTAGAAGAGGTTAAAGCCCTCTCCCAACTCATTTCTGTCCCAAATTCAGAATAATTATTTTCTATTATCATTTAAACTGTAAATTTGGTGCAGCCATCAGCATTTAATATAATTTGTGGCTTCAGTTTCTTTCTCGTTTGTCTTACAGCACAAATATTAACATTGTCCTCCTCCTGTTTAGAATGTGATGGTATGAGCCATCATCTGAGCACCAGAGGCGTTCCACAGATTTCAGTCATTAGCCCTGACCAACAGCTTGAAGCACAACTAAAGTTGTCTACAAACATTAGATAACAAGCTCCCATTCCAGCTATTTTTCCTTTAACCAGGCAGAATCTATAGAGAAGAGCATGCAGATAAGCATTCTCCACGTACAAAAATAAAAAAAAAAGAGAAAAGTTTGTCTTATTGATTCATTACTTACTGATACCTCTCAATTTCCCTAAATGACAAATCATAACTGGAACATTACTTTTGTAGCCAGAAAAATAACTCAGCGCACAACTTAAGATGACATAATCCAGGGAAACATTGATGTTTGATATTTTTTAATTGCAAAATAATGAGGTTGATTTACTAAAGCTGGAGTGTGCAAAATCTGGTGCAGCTCTGCATAGAAACCAATCAGCTTCCAGCTTAATTGAACAAGTTAGAAGCTGATTAGCTACCATGCACACCTGCACCAGATTCTTCACTCTCCATTTCTAGTAAATCAACCCCAATAACCATTAGGCCCCTTTCACATGGGCGTTCCGTATGTCCATTTTTCATCTGTCCGTTTATGGATGAAAAACGGACACCCATGTATTTCTATGACAAATAATAATGGAAGTGAGCGCTCTTAAAATAAGCAGCTGAACACACAAGGAAACCAGATAAAACCTCATCAAATATATAAAAATGGTGCAGAGCTATGAATAATACAAAATTAATCCAATTAAAATGTCCTAAATGCTAAATAAAACATGAAAGTGTGACAGTCTATGTAGTGTGAATAACATAGAATCTTCAATCCAGTGTTGGGGCTCCCAGTGGTAAAGTAAGAATTGCACACTCACCAGAAGTATAATGAAATATCGCGGTGTATATATCAACAAGGGTCCCCTTCACAGGTCTGGGTCTGGGCTGGAACATGAGATGATTCCCCCTTCAAGAATAAGGATATGAGCCCTCAAGGAATGTGAATGGATCCAGCAAGCCAGGGGTCCCTTTAAGGGATAGATGGGTATGGATGCCTGTTTACAGGTGCTTCCCTCACTGAATGGATGGACTAAAGGCTGGATCGCGACAAGGCTCTATAAATGATAAAGTCTGTACAGTCGTCTGGAATGAAGTCCTCCACCGCCACGGAGTGACCAGGTTTGAGGCCAATGTTACAAAAGAAAAAATGTATTATCTGCCATCCTGCTTCCTTATCAGAGACACTTGTCTCTTCAAAACGGATGAAAAATGGATGAAAAATGGATGTAAACTAATGAAAAACGGAAGTAAACTGATGAAAAACAGATTGAAAAATGCATTAAAAATAGCAGTAAACTGATGAACAAAACGGATGAAAATGGAGGAAACATGGATGTAAACTGATGAAAAACTGAAATGAACTGATGAAAAACTGATGTGAACTGATGAATAACTGATGTGAATGGGTGAAAAAAACTGATGTAATCGGACAAAATGGATGTAAATGGATGAAAAACAGATGTGAATGGAAAAAGCAAACAGATCTAAACGGACAAAAAAAGGATGTAAATAGATGAAAAACAGATGTAAACTAATGTAAACGGATGTAAACTGATGAAAAACTGATGTGAGCGGATGAAAAATGCATGTAAACAGATGTAAACGGATGTAAACTGATGAAAAACTGATGTGAGCGGATGAAAAACTGATGTGAACGGATGAAAAACTGATGTAAATGGATGAAAAACGGATGAAAAACGGATGGGATGAAAAATGGATGAAAAACGGATGTAAACTGATGAAAAACGGATGTAAACTGATGAAAAACAGATTGAAAAATGGATGAAAAACGTCTGTAAACGGATGAAAAATAGATGAAAAATAGATGTAAACTGATGAAAAACTGAAGTGAACTGATGAAAAACTGATGTGAATGAATGAAAAAACTGTTGAAAAATGGATGTAAAATGAATTAAAAAACGGATGTAAACTGATGAAAAACAGATGAAAAATGGATGTAAACTGATGAAAAACTGATGTGAACTGATTCGTTTTTTCTTGGAAAAAACGTGACTGAAATGATGAAAAAAACGGAACTCCAGTGTGAAAGGGGCCTAAAATTTAGTGACAAAGCCAAGTCTAAAATGGCCTATTTCTAAAAGATTCTAAAAAAATATTTAGCTTGACTCAAAATCTTTGCATATTTCACCAATCCATCATGAAAACCTTCAAACTCGCTTTGGAAAAAGCTTTTTTCTTTAACTTAAAAAAAAATATGCATTTAGGTTTCTTTTAAAATCCATCAATAGAAAAAACTCATGTTTTATTCAAAGTTCTGCCTAATTATTAGAACCCTGTGGGATTAGCTTCCACAGATGTCTACGCCTTCAATAGCCGATATCATGAGATTTTGATGAAAGGTACATCTGTGTGAAAATAAATAAGTTAGATAGACAGGGGTATACAAGTACATTTTGATTCCTTTGACTAATAGCAATGACATTTTGAATTCTTCCGACTAATAGCAACCTGTCTGTCAGGTTATATTTCTGTATAACATACAAAAATAAATTAAAGCCCTAATGTAGTTTTGCCATAAACTATAGAAATGAATCCATGCTGGATCATAGATCAGTAGTAATTATCTTACCATATATAATGCTGTCTTCTCTGTACAGCAATCTAACACACTCCCTACCTTGTCACCACTGCTGCTCTGCAATCATTGGGCATATAGACCACTATTCTGAGACCACTGTGTTCACACAGAGCACAGCAGTCCACAGCTGCACACTCCTGTCAGTCGTATGGGTTTTCTTCTGGGATCGGGGAAAAAATAAACAGTAAGAAAATAGGCATACCTAGAACCTTCATGGCCCCCATGCAAAAAAACATGAAGGGCCCCTCTGAATCCCCCTTTTCATCGGTAATGAGGCCCTTGAAACTGATCCCGGGCCCTTGACACTCTCTTACAATTGGTCCTGGGTCCCTTTCCATTGGTCCCCAGGACCTTTCCCTCTGAGCTTTGGGCCCTTCCCACTAATCCTGGGGCCCTTTACTTCCATCATGGGAGTATTATGGTCCCGCAGTGAGACCCTTCACATGTTCCTGTCGTCTTGGGGCTCCCTCATGGTGGCGGAACTCCAGCAAGTGAGACCTCTGTGACCCTGGTAGTTCCACCACTGAGACATTTTGTACCTTGCTTTTTGATCCAGTCTGGCTTAATTTCTATATTTTATGGGAAAAATACAATTGGGCTTTTGGTGTTTTACTCTCAAAAGTGAATTTTACACATCTTTTTTACTTAGGAGAGAAAGTTTGTTGGAGGCTCTGGACAGATAAGCGAGAGGATAATGGCTCTCCTTCAGGATCGAGTGAAATTGGAGAGACCAGTGATTAGGCTTGATCAGTCGGGGGAAAATGTAATTGTGGAAACCTTAAACCATGAAATCTATCAGGTAAAGTTTAGATACATATACTTGAATATTAGATAAATCATTAGAGCAGGAAAAAAATTACATACTATGCAGATCAGCAGTTTAAAGCCCTACTCCAGCCACAAAAAAAAATTACTCTTGCAGTGGGGCTCCCACACTGCAAGGATTAAGGCTGGGTTCACACTGATGTGGTGCAGAGTTGCAGCGTTTTCTGTGCAAATTTCGCACCACATCAGAATTGCAAAACATTTATGCGAACCAATGCGGGTGTGTATATTAAGAACACACCGAAATCGGTCTGCAAAACAGCGATGTGCAGATTTGGATTGCATAGGTGTGAATACCCATGCAATCCGATTCTAGTGCTGACCCAAAGAAGGGTTCTGCTCCTTTTTGGTGTGGGTGCAGTGCGATTGAGCCATACACCCAATCGCACACACAAAATTGCATGAGATTTGCACAGGAATGCAGTGCTATTCCTGTGCAAATCACATGTGATGTTCTGCACCGCATGAGTGTGAACCTTGCCTAAATGCCTAAATGCTCATTTTGCGATACGGTGCTGTGTTATTTAACTTTCAATTGCACAGTCATGCAATGCTACACCCAAAGGAGATTTATGTCATTTTTTTCCCTCAAATAAAGCTTTCTTTCGGTGGTATTTGATCGCCTGTGCATTTTTTATTTTTTGCGCTATAAACAAAAAAGATCGAAAATTTTGAGAAAAGAACAATATTTTTGACTTTTTGCTATTAAACTTGTCCAGTAAAAATGTTTAAAAAATCAAATTTCATCATAAATTTTGGCCAAAATGTATTCTGCTACATATTTACTCAAAAGTCATAGTGTTTATAAATGGAAGTATATATACTTTTTTTTTTACTAGAAATGGCGGCGATCAGCAACTTATAGCGGGACTGCAGCAGGCATTCTGACACTGGGGGGGGGGACTGACTTGGTGTCACTGATATCCCCAGTGACACCAATACAGTGATCAGTGCTAATAAAAAGCACTGACACTGTACTAATGGCACTGGGCAGGAAGGGGTTAACATGTGGGGTTTTATACAAAGGCCTCTCCCCCGTCAGAGATACTTGGCAATCACCGGATGAATAAATCACCCTACCCGGAGCTACAAAATCACATATATATATAAGTGATTTTGCGCATCCCTGTCACCCTGGATGGTGTGGAAGCGGTTAAGTCTAGAGGTGGAAAAATAAGGTGTAATATTTACCTTGTTCATTGCCCAGGCAGGCTCCTCTCTAAGGTACGCCCTCCATGGTCATGAGTAGAGATGAGCGAATTTTTTCAAAAATTCGATTCGGCTGATTCGGCGAATTCCAGGAAGAAATTTGATTCGATGCGAATTAATTCGCTACGAAGTTAACTTATAAAAAGGGTTTCTAGGCTTCAGAGAGCCTTTAAATTAGTGCAGAACACTGTACCTTTAATTTAAATGCCCTTGGAGATGAGGAAGGAGAAGGAGAAGGAGAAGGATGAGAAGAAGGAGAAGGAGAAGGATGAGAAGAAGGAGAAGGATGAGAAGAAGGAGAAGGAGAAGGAGAAGGATGAGAAGAAGGAGAAGGAGAAGGATGAGAAGAAGAGAAGGATGAGAAGAAGGAGAAGGAGAAGGATGAGAAGAAGGAGAAGGATGAGAAGAAGGAGAAGGATGAGAAGAAGGATGAGAAGAAGGATGAGAAGAAGGAGAAGGATGAGAAGAAGGACAGTTCTGTGACAGTTTCTGTCTATTTCTGACAGTTCTGTGACATTCACTCCATACAGCGGTTTCAACCGCTGTATGGAGGGAATGTCCCAGAACTGTCAGAAATAGTCCCTATTTCTGACAGTTCTGGGACATGTATGGAGTGAATGTCCCAGAACTGTCAGAAATAGTCTATTTCTGACAGTTCTGGGACATTCACTCCATACAGCGTTGAAACATTGTATCATTTGTGATTGAAACATTGTATTTTTTTCCATAATGGATCCATTTTATAGAAACAAATAGATACAAATGTTTCAACCGCTGTATGGAGGGAATGTCCCAGAACTGTCATAAATAGTCTATTTGTGACAGTTGTTGGGACATTCACTCCATTGGAATTATTCTTATTTTCATCCTACTTCTTCTTCTTCTTCTTCATCCTCATCCTCATCCTCTTCTTCTTCTTCTGAGGATGAGGATGAGGATGAAGAAGAAGAAGAAGAAGAAGTAGGATGAAAATAAGATTAATTCCAAGCCGGCAAAAAGTGTATGTGCAGAGCTCCTCTAAGTGTATCTGCAGAGCTCCTCTAAGTGTATCTGCAGAATAGAGGAACTCTGCACATACACTTTTTGCCGGCTTGGAATTATTCTTATTTTCATCCTACTTCTTCTTCTTCTTCTTCATCCTCATCCTCTTCTTCTTCTTCTGAGGATGAGGATGAAGAAGAAGAAGAAGAAGAAGTAGGATGAAAATAAGATTAATTCCAAGCCGGCAAAAAGTGTATGTGCAGAGCTCCTCTAAGTGTATCTGCAGAGCTCCACTAAGTGTATCTGCAGAATAGAGGAACTCTGCACATTACACTTTTTGCCGGCTTGGAATTTCTTCTTTATTTTCATCCTACTTCTTCTTCTTCTTCTGAGGATGAGGATGAAGATGAAGAAGAAGAAGAAGAAGAAGTAGGATGAAAATAAGATTAATTCCAAGCCGGCAAAAAGTGTATGTGCAGAGCTCCTCTAAGTGTATCTGCAGATAGAGGAAACTCTGCACATACACTTTTTTGCCGGCTTGGAATTATTCTTATTTTATCCTACTTCTTCTTCTTCATCCTCTTCTTCTTCTTCTGAGGATGAGGATGAAGAAGAAGAAGAAGAAGTAGGATGAAAATAAGATTAATTCCAAGCCGGCAAAAAGTATGTGCAGAGCTCCTCTAAGTGTATCTGCAGAGCTCCTCTAAGTGTATCTGCAGAATAGAGGAACTCTGCACATACACTTTTTGCCGGCTTGGAATTATTCTTATTTTCTCCTACTTCTTCTTCTTCCTCTTCTTCATCCTCATCCTCATCCTCTTCTTCTTCTTCTGAGGATGAGGATGAGGATGAAGAAGAAGAAGAAGAGGAAGTAGGATGAAAATAAGATTAATTCCAAGCCGGCAAAAAGTGTATGTGCAGAGCTCCTCTAAGTGTATCTGCAGAGCTCCTCTAAGTGTATCTGCAAAATAGAGGAACTCTGCACATACACTTTTTGCCGGCTTGGAATTATTCTTATTTTCATCCTACTTCTTCTTCTTCTTCCTCATCCTTATCCTCTTCTTCTTCTTCTGAGGATGAGGATGAAGAAGTAGAAGAAGAAGTAGTTCCTTCTGTCAGAGAACTGTCAGAAATAGCGGAGCTCTCTGCAGGGACACTTTTGCCGGCTGATCGGGAAAAATCCGATTCGCGCACCCGAAGTAGGCAAATATTCGGATTCGACGCGAATCAAATTTTTCCTGAAATTCGTATCGAATTCCGGTTCGCCTGGTTCGATTCGCTCATCTCTAGTCATGAGCTTAGCTCTTTACAATGCATGGCTATTAGCCCTGCAATTTTCATGATGCAGAAGGCCTGCCCATAATCCATACAGAGAATCAGAGAGAAGTGGAGAGTGCAGGAGCAAGGGGGTACTAATGCAAGGTTGTTGTTTTTTTAATGCCAGAGATGGGCTTCAAAGCTGAAATCCAGCCTTTTCTTGAGTCTTGAAGAATTGTACAGGCTTCTCTCCTTACTGAGAATGCTTACTCTTGCGCTAAACTGCACACTAGAAGTACACTTTGCCTAATTTCCTGGTTGAAGGATGTCCAGCATCTTCTAGATCTTTCCACTCCAACCTGACTGTGTCTGGCCTTGCCCCTTTCATTTATTGGGTTTTAGTTATTTTAATCATGGAGGCTCAGCATCACTTTTGGGTATTACTTAGGTCAGTCTGCATGCAAAATGCAGCCTGTCTAGAAACGCCCACTTTTCCAAATTGACATCCATGCTTCAATGCATTTTGATATTTACATAACTACTCCCAAGCGGTAATTCACTGCTTGCATCAGGGCTGAGAGCTCTTTAAAGGCGTAGGTAGGGCGCTAAGATGTTTTCAGGAGACTTTGTATAGCAAAAAAGTGGGGAACGTGAAAAGAGATTCACAGAAAAGTGGTTACATTATGGACAGAATGCGATACTAGAAGTAGTTCCAAAAATTATGCTTTATTTCACAATACCCATGTGGACAATTAAGGTAAATACCTTGATTCACCATCACCTCAGTATGAGATAATACAAAAAACAGACCTAAAATCACATAAAAGCAACGTCATGACCGGTCTTAGTAATGGTGTGCTGCAGATATAGTGACAATGGTCTAATACATTTTCAGCACCGACACATTGGTTACACCGCCGTGCAGGAGGTGTATCACAAAATTGTACCATATAGGCAGAGCATACTTTGCAATAATGGCTAATAACAAGTACCAAGTGATAATGATAAAGTTGCCCATAAACCTGACCAGGTAATGTGGGTAAAAAGTATACATATAGGGATGCGGTTAGCCTCTGTGATAACCAGATAAAGTAATGGCAAAAGTTAATGGCAAGAGTAGGTGGTGAAATATAAAGCCACAATGAACATGTCCATATTGCTTGAGTATGGAATCAGCAGTGTAAAAATCACCATTGACTTCCACAATGTTGTAGACATGGCAGGGTCCTACTTTGAGGGGTTTCCTCACCGCGACATGCAGGCTATATAACCACCTTAATAATGATGTAGAAATGCAAAGTGCTGGATCTTCCGTGGCTTGTAATAAGTGTAGGGTGCCATGCACCTTTATATAATGAGACATGCTGTCCCCATCCTGTAACAAATAGGTGACATATGGACAGTCAATAAATATGTTCCTTGTAGTAAATATGTAATGGCGGACTTGCGCCTTATTTCCAATTATCTGTGCAGCAATTCACTCACCACCCAAGCCATAGGTGATACTCTAACAGAGTTTCCCTCGTCTGGAAGACCAGGCGTAGTCCCGGAGGCAGCCGCCACCATCGGGACAGTTATCCAGTGGGCTCCGCTCCCACCTTGTGCTTGTACAGCCTTGCACCGCTCATGGCCAGCGTGTATGGCTGACTTCCCTGATGGTCAGCGTGTATGGCGCCAATGCGTGCGGCCGGAAGTGACGTATCTGACGTATGACGTCAACACGTTTTGCCGACCAAGTCCTGAGGAAGCCGAGTGAGATACACCCATCGGCGAAACGCGTTGACATCATACGTCAGATTACGTCACTTCCGGCCGCACACATTGGCCATCCCTTATATTTACCTGAGCCACATCTCGATCCAGCAATGTGCATGAGAGTTGCAGTTCTTCTGGGTCTCTACGTCCTCACTGGCTCACAAGGCAGTGGGAGCCATTGGCTCCCACTGCTGTTAATCACAGACCGTGACCCAGTCACCCTCTGGCTCTATCCTACACTCTCTAACTCACATCTTCAATCTCTTCCTTTTTTCCGGCATCTTCCCCAACTCTCTAAAACATGCACTACTCACCCCCATGATTAAAAAGCCCACATTAAACCCGGGCAATCTTAACAACCTATGATCCATCTCCTTACTCCCCTTTTCCTGCAAACTCCTTGAACGCTTGGTCTACAACCAACTGAGCGACCATCTTAATAAGAATAACCACCTTGATCTCCTTCAGTCTGGATTTTGCACTCAACAGTCCATGGAAACCGCTCTCTTTTAACTCACAAACGATCTACTAACAGCTAAAACCCATGGACACTATTCTGTTCTACTCCTGGACCTCTCTCTTGCCTTTGACACAGTGGGCCACTCTCTCCTCCTCAAAAAACTATATTCCTTTGGTCTTCGTGACTGTACTTTTTGATGGTTCTCATCCTACCTATTCCACCGCACCTTCAGTGTCACTTACAATTCTCTTCTCCTCTTCCTTTCGCCGTTGGGGTTCCCCAAGGTTCTGTTTTTGGACTCCTATTCTCGATCTACACATCCTCTTGGGTCAGTTGCTAGCATGCAATGGCTTTCAATACTCTACCACTCAGCTCACTCCATCAATCTCTACACGCATTACTAATCTACTAACAGATATATCAGGCAGGAAGTCATACCACTTCCTGAAAATCATCCTATCCAAAACAGAGCTCATAATATTTCCTCCCCTATTTGCCCCTTCCCCCAACTTCTCTGTCAAAATCCACAGCTCAACCATCAACCTGTCGCTGTATGCCAAGGTTCTAGGTGTAATCCTGGATTATGAATTATCCTTTTGGTCCCACATCCAATCACTGTCCAGAGCTTGCCGCCACAACCTCTGTAACAACATACGCCCCTTCCTAACCAATGACACCACAAAGCTTCTTACTCACTCCCTGGTTATCTGCCACCTTGACTACTGCAACTCCCTCCTCACTTTGCTTACCTTTGCATAGGCTATCCCCCCTCCAGTCCATCCTGAATGCTGCTGCAGGACTCATCCACGTCACCAACTATTCAGCGTCTGCCACCCCTCTCTGCTAATCCCTGCACTGGCTTCCACTCACCCAGTGAATTAAATTCAAGATACTTACAACAACTTATAAAGCCATCCACAACTGAGCTCCCAGCTACATCACTAACCTTATCTCAAAATACCAACCAAATTGTTCTCTTCGTTCCTCCTAAGACCTCCTGCTCTCTAGCTCCCTTGTTACCTCCCTCCCATGCTCGCGTCCAGGACTTCTCCAGAGCTGCTCCCATCCTCTGGAACTCCCTTACTCAATGCGTTTGATTATCTCCTACTCTGTCCACTTTTAGACGATCCTTAAAAACTCATCTCTTCAGAGAGGCCTATCCTGCCCTCACCTAGCAAATGTACATTTATTTTCTCCTTCAGCCTACCCCCCACTGTTATTACCTTTTGTATCAAATGACCCTCCTTCTTAGATTCTAATCTCTAACAAGCAGGGCCTCTGATCCCTTCCTGTATTAATTTGTATTGTAATTGTACTGTCTGCCTTTATGTTGTAAAGCACTGTGTAAACTGTCGGTGCTATATAAATCCTGTATAAAAATAATAATGAAGAGAAAGCAGGCAGCAGGGCCGAACCAAGCTCTGTGTGTGAATGGACAATGTCCTTTGACAGGAGCGTGGCTTGGGAGCACACCTGTATGAGTTCCCCCATAGGAAGAGGCCTGCTACTGGGGGTACCCGAAAGGGGGGAGGAGGCAGGACCAACCGGCAGGGTTGTTCTGTGCAGAATCATTGCACAGAGCAGATAAGTATAACATGTTTGGTTTTTTTTTTAATTACAGCCTTTAACCACTTGCCCTCCTGAGGATTTACCCCCCCTTAATGACCAGGCCTCTTTGTGCTACTCGGCATTGCACTAATTCAACTGATAATTTTGCGCAGTCATGCAATGCTGCGCCCAAATGAAATTTATGTCCTTTTTTTTCACACAAATAGAGCTTTCTTTCGGTGTTATTTGATCACCTGTGCGCTTTTTATTTTTCACGCTATAAACAAAAAAAAACCAAAAATTTTGAAGAAAAACAATATTTTTTTACTTTCAACTATAAAAAATATATAGTAAACTCAAAGTTAGTTATAAATTTAGGCCGAAATGTATTCTGCTACATGTTTTTGGTAAAAAAATCCCAATTAGTGTATATTGATTGCTTTGTGTGAAAGTTATAGCGTCTACAAACTATGGTAGAGATACTGCAATTTACACCATTTTTTTTGCTATACAGCGCTGCGCTAGTTTAACGGACAATTGCGGGTCATGCAATACGGTACATAAATGAAATTTACATCCTTTTTTTCCCACAAATTGAGCTTTCTTTTGGTGGTGGTATTTGATCGCCTGTGCATTTTTATTTTTTGCGCTATATAAAAAAAAAGGCTGCCAATTTTGAGGGAAAAAAAACAATATTTTGGACTTTTTGCTATAAAACACGTCCAGTAAAAAAAAATGTAAAAATCAAATTTAGTCATAAATTTTGTCCAAAATGTATTTTGCGACATGTCTTTGCTTAAAAAAAATCCCAAATACGTGTAAATTAATTGGTTTACGTTAAAGTTATAGTGTCTACAAATGGCGGGAAAAATACTGGGATTTTTTTTTTATTATACTAATAATGGCGGCAAGCAGCGACTTATGGCGGTGATCAGCGATTTATGACAGTGATCAGCGACTTATGGCGGGACTGCGGTGGACATTTTGACACTGGGGGGGAACTGACTTGGGGTCACTGACATCCCCAGTGACACCAATACAGTGATCAGTGCAAAAAAAAAACACTGACACTGTACTAATAGCACTGGGGCACTGGGGAGGAAGGGGTTAACTTTTATTAGGTAATGAAAGGGTTAACTGTGTGAGGGGAGTGTTTTACTAGGGGGTGGGGGTGTGTACTTCACAGGAACATGCTGATCCCGAGAGATAAAGTCTTTTCTCAGGTTCAGTGTGCTCTGAACTGACAGATAGCAGAGCTGCAATGTAAACAATGCAGCCGTGCTATCTGTCAGTAATTACTTGTAATTTCCGGCACCCAGTGGGAAATAACCCGCCCGGGAGCCGGTGATGGACACCCGCTGCCACGATTGGTGGGCCGGGTAGGGGGGGCACGTACCTCACGCGTGCCCCCTACCTGTTTTGCACAGCGACGATAAAAAGACGGCGCTGTGCGTACAGGTGCCACCCTGCCGGAGTAAAAACACTGCGGCGGGTTGGCAAGCGGTTAAAATCACTTTAAATTGACACACCTGTTCCACAAAAAACTGTCTAAGAGGAGATTTATTTTCCTTTGGAAAGATCTCCTTTCACTTCCAATTGTGTTTATGGGACAGAAAGTGAAATTTCCCCAATGAGACACAAATGACAAAAGAAAAAAAAAAGAGGGATTTGAGCATTTCCTACACTACTTAATAAAAAAAAAGTTACTTCTCGCCTTAGATATTTTCAATGGATCTGCTGAGAACTGTATATTTATTTTTGCCATCATTTTATACATTAAATCATCATTAAATCATCTTCTTTTCTAATATTCAGAGTAAATTCGTCATTAGCGCTATACCGCCAGTGTTGAGTACAAAGATTCATTTCACTCCAGAGCTGCCTCCAATCAGAAACCAGTTAATACACCGTCTTCCAATGGGATCTGTTATCAAATGTATGGTTTATTATAAGGAAGCCTTCTGGAGGAAAATGGGTAAATGATTTAATATTCAATTATTATTAATATTATTATTACTAATAATATCATTATTAATATTATTTTTTATCAAACCAAAAATTTTCATTCATTCATTTAAAACTTTATTTTCCTATGGAAGTAAATTTTGCTAAGTATCTCACAATGATAATGTAACATTTTATGTGTTCTAATAATATGCATTACCTTTTTTTTTGCTATACAGGCAGCCCCTGATTTACAAAAATCTGACTTTCATATGACTCATACTTAAGAATGGAGGCAGCATGATGTCATGCTGATCCCAGAAACCGCCAGGCAGCCATCTTTGCTGCTCACCGCATGCTGCCACCTACTGTCTGGCGGACCTTTAAGTAATTCCATATCACTGCATGGCCAAATAACCTTTTGCTATGCTATCCAAAAACTAACTAAAAATATTTTTTTTTTTTGCTGGAGTTACACAAAAAAAAAAAATGTACCTGTTGTAACTTGCATACAAATTCAGCTTAAGAACAAACCAGAACCTGTAACCCAGGACTGCCTGAAGTAATTTGATCAATATCTGACTTCTGTCAACAATCAACATACAGTATATTATTACATTTGATGGTTTTCCTTCTCCACCTATCAATAGTTCCAACTTGGTTATGACCGTAGTCATTTTATGGTGGTACAGTTGCAAAAAAAGTATGTGAACCTTTGGGATTACATGTCAGTTTTGCATGAATTCATAAAATGTGCTTACAGATACGTTCTACTCACAACAATAGAATGAACACAGTTTGGAAAGAAACTGAAGGGTTACTGACATTAATAAGTATGAAGTATGATGAATTGCCTAAAAAAAAACATTTGCACTCTTGTTGGAGTGAGTGGCTATGAGAACTTTGAAGCAATAAGCATCAGCCTTGACAGCAATAGCCCATTAAACATTTTGTAGTTGCAGATCAACAACAGCACAACCTCTGGAGTAATTGTTCATGACAGGTTTCTTCACTTTAAACTGTCTAAACTCATTTTAAGCAATTTGCTTGGTTAAGATTCCTAGGACTTTGAAATAGCTTCTCTTAGGCTGTTTTCAACTGTTTCTAACCCTTAATTTCATGGACTGAAAAACAATACTTGATCGTAAAAAGTCTTCTGAGAGCTCTTTTCTGCGAGGCATGGTTCACATCAGCAGCTGCCATTTTGCATTTTGTCATTCCAAAGTTCAGGCAGATGGGTATAAAAGAAATGACCAAATCAGGATGGCCGCCGGAACCCTCGTGGTGTGTGTTTTTTAAGGGCAATCAGCTGTAGCAACACATCCAACTGACACACTTTCGAATCAAGGTTGGCTCAGTCCTAGGGATTCAGCTTACTCTGGCCAAGTCCTGATTTGGTCAGGGCCTCATTACTCTTTTTACCTATATGCCCTAACTGTGAATAAATTATCCTTGACATACTACATGGCAACATCTAATGTTTGAGCCCCTGTGGGAGCTCATCATGATTCAGCAGACGTGTTCTTCTATTGTTGTATTAGATTACGTTCAGAAGCAGTGGAGGCTACATGACCAATTCATGCAAAACTCCACGTAATCCTAAGGGAGGGCACATGATGTTTTTTAACTGATATACTAACACCTGCGTATTAAATGTCAGTATCATATTCAAAAAAAGTACTTTACAGATACTTTTCTCACTGCAAAATAAATGTTTACAGGGAATTGGAACTGAAGGGTTACTGACCTGGAACAAGTATGACAGTATGATGATTTAATGCCTGAAAAAAAACCTCTTATCTGCACTCTTGTTGTGAGTGAGTGGCTCTGAGAATAGTGGCAAACGCATCAGCTTGACAGATGTCACCTTACTTATCTATTTAGATACAAAGCTCATTAATTTGGCACGTCCATATGCGTCCGTCAGGTTCACTTTACACTGTCAAGCCTTTTGAGAATGTGCACTCAAATTTTTTTTTTTTTTAGCAATATTAGTTCACTTAGATTCTATTTGCAATGAATTTGCACAATGTCACCTTATTTCTGATGATTAATTATACTATATATGAATTTAGCATACCATACATTATATTTTGTGATTTTTACCAGGCATCAAACCACTGGCTTTCAGTTAAATAACTAAGAGCTACTGAAATCTTATATAGTGCCTTTGGTGCATGGTCGCTATTCCCAGTGTTGATTTTCACTTATTTACCATGAAAACCTGTTTAAAATATTCATGCTATGCTCCTGTTAGCAGGTGGCAGGCTGCCGTGGGGTGGCCATAGCAAGCAGCCGAGCCAACCACCAATGTTAACTGAACTTCATGGCAACATGATATCTTTGCCACAACTCTCCCTAATGTGTAGGTGGCAGGTGGAGGCCAATCTTCTTTCCAACCTCCTGCCTGGTAGCTTCACCCCTCACTTTCAGGGGCGTCAGGTGCTAGCCTGCCTTCTCAGGTCCAGGGGACACCAGTTCAAGCTTGGTAATGAGTAAATAAAGGCACCATGAGGCTGGATGTGGTTAGTGTTCTTTACTTGTCCCAGACCCTGCTGGACGCTGCTCATGTTTCTGCAGATGGGTTCTCCTCCTGATAGGCCTGCTATTCTCCTTGGGCTAAGCAGGGGAGGGACTGAGGGTTAGACCAACAAGTCTTTCTTTGGGTTTGCACTAACCCGCTGTAGCTGTCTCTTATTTTTTCTTGGGGCTAGGATGGTGAACCCCAAGGCACCCTAACCTTTCTCCTGAAGGGGAAAAACAGGAGTGCAGCAGCTCTAGTCTCCTCCCTCTCTCTCTCTGGCCCTGTGTGGACTCCCATCCTTCTCCCATGGGGAGGAAGCACCTTAAAAAGGGTCTTCTCTGCCACCTGTTTTCACTCCCAAAAAAGTTTTCAGTCTATTGTCCCTACTGCAAACATAAGTACACATGAAGGCTGATTTTGGATGTATACCATGTGGATGAATGTGCATGTGCACAAAGAGGAAACCACATGCGTACAGGGTGAATATATAATCCCTATGCAACTTGTGTATTTGGTGAAAACGAAACTCAGAATCTGACCTCTGCCTACCTTTACTTTTCTATACTTCACCTGTAAAAAAGAAATATAGCTGAAAATCATGGGTGTTGTTTTTCATTTGTTGATAATGGATGCACTTTTGTATTTTTTCAGCCAGACTAACTATGTAACTATGATAGGAGACACACAATGAGTTTTCCCTGGTGGAAAATATCTGGCTTGTTCAGACATTCATAATTCAGTTAGAAGAATAATGCTGCTATCTACAGCGTGATAGATCTTATCTCACTTTCTGCCACTTGGCTTCACTTTGTGGTGTAGTCAGCAGGTAAAAGTAATTGACACTACATCCCCCAATCACATATGAAGCTGTTTCAGTATATGTATCAAATTTTTTTCTCTGCAATTATCGCTTTTTACTGAATGTAGAGTCAACTGATGCAACTAACACAAAAGGTCTGATTAGGCTATACCTACATATAAGAACTTTCAAAGGTCCACCAAAAAAGAAGAGGACCACAAATGATGTATGATGCACGATGGATCATGAACTTCGCCAGGACTGTGCCACTCTCAACTGGGGAAGTTTTGTGAAAACTACAAAAAAAAACCAAACAAACAGGAGGGCGCAAACGCCTATTGCATAACCAATGATTTATTGTTCACAAGCCAAAGATACCAAATGGATACTCACAGAAGCAGAAAGTAAAATCACATAAAAACCACTAGATGCCACAACATAAGGACTCACTTGTGTCCAGGAGGCCTGGCTGGACTGGCAAGTTGACGTATTTTGGAGGCGTACCTCCTTCCTCAAAGCTATTCTATGTCTTCTTGAGAGGGGAGTAGATTTGTGCAGAATGAAAAATAAGTTCAATAAGTTGTTTATTCATTTTAGACTAGATTCCAAGTATTCTAAGTGAAGTCGAATTGATATTCTATTCGAAATTTGAATTTTGGAAGATGGTTATATTTATTCAATTCTATTTTTTTCTATTCTATTATTTTCTATTCTAGTCTATTTTTTCTATTCTATTCTTTTATTTTCTATTCTTTTCGAAATTCGAATATCGGAAGACAGCTATATTCATTCTATTCTATTCTTTTTTTTATTCTCTTCTAATATTTTCTATTCTGTTCCTTTTTCTGTTCTATTTTATTCTATTATTTTTCTTTGCAGTCTTTTCTTTTCTATTCTTTTATTTTAATTGATTTTATTTTCATTTCTATTCTATTCCGTTCTGTTTTACTTGATAATATGCTGTTTAATCCATTCTTTTCGAATGTGAGGAGACGCCTATATTCTTTCTATTTTATTCTATTCAGTTCCAATCTATTCTATTTTTTTTTTCTATTCTATTAAAAAATATTCCATTCCATTAAAATGTTATGTCTTTATTATTTATTCTATTCTGTTTTATTCTATTCTTTTCGAAATTTAAATTTTGAAAGGCGGCTATATTCTATCACTAATACACATAGTCTGAAAGAAGTCAGCAATGGTCAGCAATATGTTTATATTTCAAATTTGTTTTTAAATTCGATTTAATTTTCAAATTTGATTCAAACTCAATTCGATTCAAATTTCAGATGACATTTTTTTAGTTGTATTCAATTCATTTATATTAGTTACTAATGTAATTTGGAAATTCAGATGCATCTGAATCTCAAAATAACTAAAATTTCAATTTAGAATGAAACAGACTGCACATGTCTAGAGGAGAGTATGTTCTGACAGCTCTCTATCAGGGTGGAGTAAATGATGGATTCTCAAAATGCTTATGAACCCCACCCTCATTGTATCATTGTAATAAGCATTGCATTTACTTAATTTGCAGGAAGGACAACTATGAGTTCTCATGCACAATTGATGTTTTTACAGCTGCTGTTTTTGGCTTTTGACGTTTTTTTTATGTTTTTTTCTACAGCTAGTGTATCCTGTGTCCATGCTGTAAAAACACTGTAATGCTGAAAAACGTGGCAACTCACAGTAAAATGCCACAAACCGTCATTTTTGGATTTTTTTTTATTTTTTTGGTAATAAAAACGCTAAAAAACGCAATAGTGGGAAAGCGCCTCTAAACACTAATACAAAAACACTAAAAAAAAGCTGAAAAACTCACGTTTTTAAGGTGACTTTACACAGCTATCGTTACCAGCGTTATCAAAACACCCAGTGTGCATGAAGCCTTAGACAGTGTAAGAATAGTCTTAAAAAAATATAGATGCAGAATATGCCACCTGAATTACAGCTTTGCCTTATGTCCCTACATCCAATCCCATTTAGTTCTGCTGCTGAATTTAGCAAACTGCAAACTGCCTAGACGTTTTGTTACTGCACACATGTTATGTTACTTTATATCAAAGTTTCATATGTGTTTCAGTAGTAATAATATGCACTACTCTTTTTTTATTTAGGGTTATGTGGATGTATGATGATTGAAGAAGAAGAAACACCAATTGGATTCACCTTGGATGACACCAAACCTGATGGTTCTGCACCAGCCATCATAGGGTAATAACATAAATAGGTGATAAACGTCAAATTAGTTTTTTCATATTTTATTACAATTGAATATTAGACATAAACATTTTTCATTTAAATACATACCTCAATAGCAATAATAGATATAAATCCACTTTGTGTGACTAAGGGATTGATTTACTAAAGGTAAATAGACTGTGCAAGTGCAGTTGCTCCAGAGCTTCATAAATGAGCAGCTCTTCTGACTTCCATTATCCAATCATGTGCAAGCAAAATGCTGGGTTTTTTTTATTTTCCTTGCAAAAAAGAAAATTTTATTTTCTTTGCAAAGTTAAGCTTTACCTCATTTACTACGCTCTAGAGCAGCAATGGGCAAACTATGGCCCGCGGGCCATATACGGCCCGGCGGACCTTTTAATCCGGCCCGCAGCCAGGGCAGGCAAACATTGGCTGTCAGGATGTGTGTAGGCGGGGCAGCGTGACGAACGTGAGGGGAGCTAGGCTCCTCTCACAGTCCGCCCTGAAGACCGGAACGGCGCGGGAACACGGCGAGAAGAACGCGCGGAGCAAAGGTAAGTGAATTGACATGGGGGACTTGGCTTACTACTTGGGGGGGAATAGTACTGTGGGGGATGAAATACTATATGAGGGATGAATTAATATGGGGGATGAATTAATATGGGGAATGAATTACTATAGGGGGGATGAATTACTATAGGGGGGATGAATTACTATAGGGGGGATGAATTACTATATGGGGGATGAATTACTATATGGGGGATGAATTACTATATGGGGGATGAATTACTATATGGGGGATGAATTACTATGGGGGATGAATTACTATATGGGGGATGAATTACTATATGGGGGATTAATTAATATGCTTACTATGGGGGAATATTACTATACTTACTATGGATGAGACATACACATCATTCATCTACTCTTGGTCCAGCCCCCGGGTCCAATATATGAACCCATTGCGGCCCTCGAGTCAAAAAGTTTGCCCACCCCTGCTCTAGAGCAACTGCACTTTGCAAAGTGCACAGACTACTTGCCTTTAGTAAATCAACCCCAATCTATTTGTCTTTAGTAAATCAACAGCAATCTATTTGTCTTTAGTAAATTATTATTATTGTTATTATTATTATTATACAGTATTTATAAAGCGCCAATGGTTCGCTCAACCTGATTAATTATTTAATTGCGGATCATTTCTGTACCAACTAGCATTATGGTAATGTGGGATATGGGTCATTAGAAAAGTGTGTTATGTTGCATGTACACATTCAATTGTTTTTGAATCTCAAAAGAGCATGGGCTTAAAAATGTAGCTTTTTTTGTGCAGATGTTGGGAATTCAGGGAAAAGTTAGAGCAAATTAGGTAAAGAGCATTTTTAAATTTTAAAATATTTAGAGGCATTTGTATAGCAGTGTTTTAAGATCCCGTTATCTATAATCTTTGATATATTTTAAGTTCTAAATCTCCCCACAGTACAGCCTGCTGGGGAGATCTAATTTATGTTCTGCAGTACTTTAAATAAAACATGATAGTGCTTTGTATATGTCTTACATACCTTACCTTGTTTTATCTCTGCTCATTCTGAATATAAAGAATAGAGAAGAGGACATTTTTAAAAATCTGCTGTTTGATTCAGTTTTACAATATGGTTTATAGCATGATAACCTGGATTTAATTGTGAATTTTTACATTAACGGTGTACACTTTTTTGGGTGTGTTTGTAAACCCATGGAATATTTTTCCCCTGGCTTTACACACACATTTCACACCAGTTTTGCTATGCCAATAATTTACATTTTTTTTATAATCTTTTTTGGGGCTCGTACTGGGGACAAAGAGGGTCACACTCACCTGTGCTTGCTCCAATGTTTTTCCTCTGTATGAAGTCACCAACCCATCGCCAATAAAAGGCTGCTGGTGTCGTAGCCATTCCACAGCAAGTTGCTGTCTTAAAGGATTATCACATATGCTGCTTGGCATTTGGGCTACAGTACACTAGCTGCCAAGCCCACTTATGTCTTCAGAGATCATCCTTTGATAATCCTTGTGACTTTCCACATTAAAACTCAGCACGCCTTTGTGTTTAGGCTCAGAGCTCCAGCATTCCTGTAGTTAGTGCTTCCTTAAGACTTCTATGTACTCCAGGAGAGCTTCCAGTGTTTCTATACCTGTGAGCCCTGTGTACTCAAAGAGGGGTTCTAGCATTCCTATACTTGTGTGCCCCGTGTACTACAAGAAATCATCAAGTGTTTCCGGTGTCTTCCTATGCACCCAGCACACCTTTATTTCCAGAGTCTCTCATATTCCTGTGATCACCGGACCGCAGTGCTTTTAGGGTCTCTAAATTTTGTGTTCCTGTGATACCAGCCCCCATTGTTTCCAGAGATTCTCTATCATGTGTTCCCATGATCCTGGGATCTCAGTGCTCCCAGAGAGTCATACTCCTGTGTTCCTTTGATCCCAGCACCTCAGAGATTCTCTATCATGTGTTCCTATTATCCTGGATCCTCCCACAGACTTTTTCTCCTGTTTTCCTGTGATCCTAGCACCCCAGTGCTCCCAGGGACTCCAGCAGGTGGGTTTCTGAGTATACACATGTATGAGTGTGTATTTCTGCACTCAGACACAGAAGGGAATATTCAGGAAAAAATGTATTTCACTGTATTCATCGCTATCTGCCATCAGTAGCTAAGGTGTTTTAGACCAAATTAAAAAATGTAGTGCAAATTCTGCTCAACTAACTACATTTTTCTTCCATGACCTAAAATACCTCAAATAATAATGACAGATGGAGATAAGTAGTGGTGAAACAATAGCACAGTGCTGGGTGGCTTAAAGGGTTTACCTGCTCTGCTGTGGTCCCAGTGCTCCAAGAAATTCTGGATGAACCCTCTGCACATTGCTATATACCCTGTCTAACAAACTTTGCAATGAAAAAACAGGTATTTTTGCTTCACACATATTGCAATACATGTTTAACCACCAGACAAGTTCACCCCCTTCCTGCCCAGGTTAATTTTCAGCTCTTAGCTCTGTCACAGTTTGAGTGTGATCACAGATCGTGTCACCTTGCACCTAAATTACATTTTTATCATTTTTTTTCACAAAAATAGAGCTTTCTTTTGATTGTATTTAATCACCACTGGTTTTTTATTTTTTGCTAAATGAGTAAAAGAAGACCACACATTTGGAAAAAGAACCCACCTTTTTCTTCGTTTCTGTTCCACAATTTTGCAAATAAATAATCTTTCTTCACAAATTTAGGCCAAAATGTATACTGCTACATTTCTTTGGTGAAAATAATCCAAATCAGTGTATATTATTAAGTCTGTAGGAAAGTTATAGAGTCCACAAACTAGGATATACACTCTATTGCCCAAAGTATTTTGACACTGTTCCAAATCATTGGATTCAGGTGTTCCAATCACCTCCATGGCCACATGGATGTAGGCATGCAGACTGCTTCTAAAAACATTTGTGAAAGAATGGGTCACTCTCAGAAGCTCAGTGAATTCAAGTGTGGTACCGTGATAGGTTGCCACCTGTGCAATAAGTCCATACTTGAAATTTCCTTGCTACTAAATATTCCACAGTCAACTGTTAGTGGTAATATAACAAAGCGGAAGCAACTGGGAACAACAGCAACTTAGCCATGAAGTGGTATGCCACGTAAAATGACAGAGCAGGGTCCAGCACATGCTGAAGCACACAGTGCACAGAAGTTGCCTACTATCTGCAGAGTCAATAGCTAAAGACCTCCAAGCTTTGTGTGGCCTTCAGATTAGCACAACAGTGTGTAGAGAGCTTCATGGAATCAGTTTCCATGGTTGAGCAGCTGCATCCAAGCCTTAAATCAACAAGTGCAATACAAATTGTCAAATGTAGTGGTGTAAAGCACACCGTCAGTGGACTCTAGAGCAATGTAGACATGTTCTCTGGAATGATGAATCACAATTCTCTTTCTGGCAATCAAATAGACGTGTCTGGGTTTGGCGGTTGCCAGGAGAACAGTACTTATCTGACTGCATTCTGCCAAGTGTAAATTTTGGTGGAGGCGGGATTATGGTGTGGGGCTGTTTTTCAGGGGTGGGCTTGGCCCCTTAGTTTCAGTGAAAGGAACTCTTAAGGCATCAGCATATCAAGACATTTTGGACACTTTCATTTTCCAAACTTTGTGGGAACAGTTTGGAGATGGCCCCTTCCTGTTCCAACATGACTGGGCAGCAGTGCACAAAGCAAGGTCCATAAAGACATGAATGAGTAAGTTCGGGGTGGAGAAACTTGACTGGCCTCCAGAGAGTCCTGACCTCAACTCGATAGAACACCTTTGGGATGAATAAGAGCAGAGACTGCGAGCCAAGCCTTCTTGTCCGACATCAGTGCCGGACCTCACAAATGCACTTCTGGAAATATTCTCATAGACACACTCCTAAACCTTGTGGACAGCCTTCCCAGAACAGTTGAAGCTGTTATAGCTGCAAAAGGTGGGCCAACTCAATATTGAACCCTGTGGACTGTGACTGGGACGCCATTAAAATTCAAGTGCGTGTGAAGGCAGGCATCCCAATACTTTTGGCAATATGGTGTGTGTGTGTGTATATATATATATATATATATATATATATATATATACAGTGGGGCAAAAAAGTATTTAGTCAGCCACCAATTGTGCAAGTTCTCCCACTTAAAAAGATGAGAGAGGCCTGTAATTGGCATCATAGGTAGACCTCAACTATGAGAGACAAAATGTGAAAAAAATCCAGACAATCACATTGGCTGATTTGGAAAGAATGTATTTGCAAATTATGGTGGAGGCCAGTCAAGTTATATATAGATCAACCCTGATGTACTGTTTTTGAAGCTTGAAAATGCCAGAGCAGTACATATATCCCTCAAATGACGCCTTTTTGGAAAGTAAATAGTCCAAGGTATGTAGTAAGAGGCATGGCGAGTTTTTTTTTAATTTAATATTTTATTTGTCACAATTTTTTGAAAAATTAAGAAATTAA